CATCAAAGAAGTAGAAAATTAAAAGGGAGAAATCTAGCCAGCGAAATGTGCATGCCTCCCTGTGTGCTAGTCTCTCTAGACTACTCGGGAGGCTGAGGCAGGTAGGATTCGCTTAATGCCAGTCACTAGGAGTTGTGACGGCTTTAGTAAGTAAGAGCTTTAAGCGCACCTAAGTATTCAACAGCAAACATGGACTCGCGCTCTAAGCCGGAAGCCAAAATCAGAGTGAGACCTCTGTCTCAAAAAAATTTTTAGATTAAATCTAAAATAAATGAATTATATAATGTTCAAAAAAACATGGAAAATAGAAGAAACAGTATTACCCCAAGGTTAACAATACTGATAATGTTGAAATAGACAAGCAGAACAGGCCATCCCGCTCCAATGAAATGGCCAAAAACAAAGTTGTTAAAATAATTTCACCAAACTATGGCCTTATAATGTATTAAAACTGCCCAAAAGATTATCCCCTGCAGTTAATGTAACCAGTTAGATAAGGGTAAGAATTGGGAATTACTGGCGCGCGAGGAAGGTCCCATGAAAAACAATCCGGAAGAAATGAATATAAAATATTCCGCAAAATATCTAAATAATTGTGCTGTGCTTAATAAATGTACAGAATAAAACATTGATAAAGGAATTGTCAACTAACCTTGTATAACCTTTAAATTGGTAATCATTTCAGGTACAAGACTCATAATAAGAGCTTATGGTCCGACAAGGAGTAAATGAAAAGAATCATCCTGTTGTTGAGTTTTTATATGTATATAGAGTATGAGGTAATAATACAAACATATCCCAAAGACTAAATATGCTGTGTAACGGGAGAAAAATTATACATTATATTATAAAACTATATCAGGATTAATTATGTATATAATAGAGGACCAATTCTAGAGAACATTAAAACTTCCCGGGGAAAGTAAAAAATCCATGCTGTCTTTGGTCTCCTGTAGAAGACACCTTACTACAAGAGATGTTAACATTAATAGATCCACAATCTTGTGGGGAGAAAGGTTATGAGTGAATGAATTGGTCCAAAAATCTTGTGAGATATCCTACTTCAATCTGAATTTTATCCTAACATCTATAGGATGGAAATATAAATCCCCGACTAGAAATATGAGATGCCACAAAGAACGCACATTATTCTTAGATATGATGCTCTGTGATGGTTATTTTAGTGTTCAACTTGACTTGATTAAGGGATACCCAGGAAAAGCACTTATTTCTGTGGTTTATGTCTGTGGAATATGTTTCTGCGATGAGTAAAGGCATCTGGGAGTAGAGGTATGAATTCCACGATCTTTTTTCCATTCCTCCCCAATTGATTTCTTTCTATTTATAGTAGAGACAGGGTCTTGCTCTTGCTCAGGCTGGTTTTGAACTCCTGACCTTGAGCAATCCGCCCGCCTCGGCCTCTCAAGAGCTAGGATTACAGGCGTGAGCCACAGCGCCCGGCCTTTGATGTATATATCTATCAGTTTACTAAAGAATTAACCACATTCAATAAAATTGTAATAATTATTTAGTTATCAATAATTAATGTTAAGGTAAAAATGATAAAGTTACAGTAATTCATGATGATAAAGCAAGAACAACAGCAATGAAGACAAAAACCAATTTAAAATATCCCAATGTCCTTTTTAAAACTGCCAGAATTTCCATCTACTTAGTAGTAACTGAATTAGAGGCCATGAAATCCAGAAATATACTGATTTATTTGTGTGTGCTAATAGGGATAACATGTAATAATTCACTTTGAATGATTACTATAAGAAGCTCTTTGCCATATGTAAAATGAAAATATGGAATTGTACTTTTTTTGTCTGTGAGAAATAAAGGACTTGCTTGTTATTCTTCTTCTTATATCAGATTATAGAGGACTTTAGAACATACTTCGGGAAATAAATCCATGCTGTCTTTGTCTCCTAGGAAACCCTCTATGTTAATAAGCTCCATGGAGAAGAGTTCTTGAGCAAGTCCCAACCCTGTCATTCATCTGAATTTCCTCTCTAAGAGGCATAAGTTCCCACCAGTATACAATTTTATATATTATAGTCTTTTTCTGGGCAACTTTTTTCCTCTCTGTGGTCAAAACTTACCTCTTCATTGCATCCCAATTCTGAAACTATGCCATCCATCATCTTGAATTCCTTACTTATACAACCATATTTCAAACAGCATAATTAATGGATTTGTGATCACTATTGCATCTCACAGTTTGAACTATATGTCTTTAAGTTTATGTAGAAGTGACAGGAATTTCTTCTTTAACATCATGAGTCTTCTCCTGTACTTTTAGCAGCTCAATCTATGGTTGTTCTCATTTTCTTTACTAATCTTTTCCTTCCCTCTGAGGTCTTCTTTCCTAAGGTCTTGTTTACTTATGAAAACCTCTAGATTTTTCAAGGGTCTGACCTGTACATCTTAAGTCTTTGTCCATTTATCTTATTTGTCTCCTTCATGGTGTCATCAATAATTTATAATAGTCAAAGAGGGGGATGTGAAAACTTTGAAAAATTAGGAAATCATTTGGAAAAACAAGATTTTTTTCATTAATTTGTTTTGGTTTATTAACTTCTTGAACTTATTTTGTTTCCTCAAAAATTTTCCTGACCCATATTCCTTCTCAAGTTATAGGTTACATTTTTTTCCTTCTCTTTTAGTTTTCTTGAAGAGTTAATACGTGATACATGATACATCTACTTCTTTGTTTTTTTTTTTTTTGTTTTTGAGACAGAGTCTCACTCTGTTGCCCAGGCTAGAGTGCCTTGGTGTCAGCCTACCTCACAGCAACCTCAAACTCCTGGGCTCAAGCGATCCTTCTGCCTCAGCCTCCCGAGTAGCTGGGACTACAGGCATGTGTCACCATGCCTGGCTAATTTTTTCTATATATTTTTAGTTGTCCAATTAATTTCTTTCTATTTTTAGTAGAGACAGAGTCTTGCTCTTTCCTCAGGCTGGTTTTGTACTCCTGACCTTGAGCGATCCACCTACTTCGGCCTCCGAAGCAGTGCTAGGACTCCAGAGTGCTAGGATTACAGGCGTGAGCCACCACTCCAGGCCAACATATACTTCTTTACCTTACAGTTCACTCCTATATCCATTTCATTCTATATTCAGCTACTGTTTTGAAGCTCACCAGAGGCCTTAGAAAGGTAGTGAAAAGAGTTCAGAATTCAGAGTGAGAATTAAAGACTTGAAAAGTACCAGTTTTTGTTACTTTCTCATTCTGTAACTTTAGAAAAATTATAACTCTTTGTTAGTTACCATTTGGTCTAAGGACTAATAGCATTGAGTATCACCAGGGAGCTTGTTAGAAATGCAGAATTTCAGGTTCCTCCCCAGGCCCACAGAATCAGAATCTATAAGTTAACAGGATCCCCACCTGGAGAAGCACTGTCACATAGTCATCTTTGAAACTCAGTTTCTCTATATGTAAAGTATAGATAATACTTGCTGTCCATATCAACCATCTTAACACCATCTGACTTACCGTATGTTTTACCAACTTATTTATTGTCTGCTTCCTTGTGCTAGAATGTAAGCTCTGTGAGGTAGGGCTGGTTGTCTGTTTGTTTATTGTTGTATCTCCTTTTTCTAGAACAGTGCCTGATACATAGTAAACATTCATATTTTTTGAACAAATGGATGAATGCACAACTTGTCAAATCCAGTCATTTCTATTGTAGTCATTTATTTTACACTGCCATTTAGAACTACTTTCATTTAGAATTATTGTAGTAGTGCAAACTTAGAACATTTCTGTTATTGCAGAAAGTTCTGTATTTTGCTGCTTAGACTTTCACATTCCCTTCCCACTCATCTTGAATCCATATTTCTTTTTTATTTTTATTTTTTTTTAATTTAATAATAAAATAAATTTCTTAATAATGTTTTCTTTATCCTTTTTCTTCTTGCTTGGGGAGAGATGTAATTGAATCCATATTTCTGCAGTACAGTTCTTATCAAAACTGTCAATTCCCCGTGCCATATTGAATAAGTCCAAACTCTTCAGTATGACCTTTAGTGTCTTTCACGGTTTTATATACTTAAAAGAAAAAAATATATATGTAATAGAGGGTGCATTTGTTGGGAGAGTCTGTCAAACCCACTGCATGCATAGCATCCATCTAGGCCACATTGTATTGCTCCTTGTGGGGCGTGTGTGCAAGAGGAACCCATGAAAAAAAGCTGATGATCCTTTGCTATGCCAGGGTTAATAAAGTCTTTTGTCTCTGACTGAGGACTTTATATCTTCTGCCAGTGTACATGACACAATAACATCTTGTGAGTAGGGTGAAATCAAATCCCAGACCCAACAGCACTATCCCATCTCATTGACAGTTTTTTAAAAATCTAAGTTTCTGGCCGGGCGCAGTGGCTCATGCCTGTAATCCTAGCACTCTGGGAGGCCGAGGCGGGCGGATTGCTAGAGGTCAGGAGTTCGAAACCAGCCTGAGCAAGAGTGAGACCCCCATCTCTACTATAAATAGAAAGAAATTAATTGGCCAACTAATATATATGGAAAAAATTAGCCGGGCATGGTGGCGCATGCCTGTAGTCCTGCTACTCAGGAGGCTGAGGCAGCAGGATTGCCTGAGCCCAGGAGTTTGAGGTTGCTGTGAGCTAGGCTGACACCACGGCACTCACTCTACTAGCCTGGGCAATAAAGCGAGACTGTCTCAAAAAAAAAAAAAAAATTATAAAAATCCAAGTTTCAAGATAATATAATATTCCATCAAATGGATATACTGTTATTTTTAGCCACTACTTTATGATTGAATATTTAAAATATTTTCATGTTAGTTTTTTTTGTCATTAATATCTTTTCATACAAATATTTGTCTTTTTTGATGGCTGTTTCCTTAGCATTTATTTCTAGAAGGTTAAAGGCCCAAGATTGGGAATCTTGCTATATTTTTTTCAGTGCATAGAAAGGAATTTTTAAAATTGAAAACAATATATATAATATTAACAAACCTCATTTTCTTTAGGAGATACTACTAAAGGAGGCATAGCTGAAATTACTCAATCCAATTTGAAATCAGGCATCACTACCACTCCTGGAGATTCAGACACTCTATCACATTTATCCTTGTCCCCTGAGGACCTGTCTCAGTCAGCAGTAAGTTCTCCTCAAGACAATACTATTGGTCAACACACTGATACTCTCAAGCAAAAGACATTAGCAGATACTCATCTAACAGAAGAGACTCTGAAAGTCTCAGCTATTCCTGAACCAACTGACCAGAAGACTAGGACACCAACAGTACCCTCTAGTTCCTACTCACATAGGGGGAAGCCCAATATTTTCTACCGACAGGGCTTGCCAGATAGTCATCTAACTGAAGAGGCTCTGAAAGTTTTAGGTGTACCTGGACCAGCTGACCAGAAGACCGGGATACCAACTATAACCTCTACTTCTCACTCACATAGAGGAAAGCCTGTTATTTTCTACCAACAGGGTTTGACAGGTAGTCCAATACCTGAAGAGGCTCTGAAAGTTTCTGCTGTTTCTGGACCAGCTGACCAGAAGACTCGGATAGCACCAGTACCCTCTACTCCCTACTCACATAGAGAGAGGCCCGGTACTTTTTACCAACAAGAGCTGCTGGACATTAAGCAGACTGAAGAGGCTCCCAAGATCTGCCTGGTAAAAATGCCAGGCTTCTCTCTATCTGAGTAGGAGTAGAGATTACAGTTGGTGGTATGCCAGTTTTATGGTCAGCAGGTCCAGGTGCAGCTAAAACTTTCTGATCCTCTTTGGGTAGATGACTATCTACCAAGATCTGGTGGTAGAAAATACCAGGCTTCTCTCTATCTGAGTAGGGAGTAGAGATTACAGTTGGTGGTATGCCAGTTTTATGGTCAGCAGGTCCAGGTGCAGCTAAAACTTTCTGATCTTCTTTGGGTAATGACTATCTACCAAGATCTGGTGGTAGAAAATACCAGGCTTCTCTCTTTGTGAGTAGGAAGTAGAGGTTACAGTTGGTATGCCAGTTGTTTGGATGGCTGGTCCAGGAGCAGCTGAAACTTTCAGAGCCTCTTTAGGCAAATGACTGTCTGGCAAGGCTTGCTGGTAGAAAATACCAGGCTTCTCTCTCTGTGAGTATGAACTAGAGGGTACTGCTGGTATGGCAGTCTTATAGTCAGCTGGTCCAGGAGCACCTGAAACTTTCAGAGCCTCTTGAGTCTGCTTAACACCTGGCAACTCTTGTTGGTAAAAAACATTGGGCCTCTCTCTATATGAGTAGGAAGTAGAGGGTACTGGTGCTGCCCGAGTCTTCTGGTTAGCTGGTCCAGAAACAGCAGAAACTTTCAGAGCCTCTTTAGTCTGCTTAACATCTGGCAACTCTTGTTGGTAAAAAACACTGGGCCTCTCTCTATATGAGTAGGAAGTAGAGGGTACTGGTGCTGTCCGGGTCTTCTGGTCAGCTGGTCCAGAAACTGCAGAAACTTTCAGAGCCTCTTCAGTCTGCTTAATGTCCAGCAGCTCTTGTTGGTAAAAAGTACCGGGCCTCTCTCTATGTGAGTAGGAAGTAGAGGGTACTGGTGCTGTCCGGTCTTCCTGGTCAGCTGGTCCAGAAACTGCAGAAACTTTCAGAGCCTCTTCAGTCTGCTTAATGTCCAGCAGCTCTTGTTGGTAAAAAGTACCGGGCCTCTCTCTATGTGAGTAGGGAGTAGAGGGTACTGGTGCTGTCCGGGTCTTCTGGTCAGCTGGTCCAGAAACTGCAGGAACTTTCAGAACCTCTTCAGTCTGCTTAAAGTCCAGCAGCTCTTGTTGGTAAAAAGTACCGGGCCTCTCTCTATGTGAGTAGGGAGTAGAGGGTACTGGTGCTGTCCGGGTCTTCTGGTCAGCTGGTCCAGAAACTGCAGAAACTTTCAGAGCCTCTTCAGTCTGCTTAATGTCCAGCAGCTCTTGTTGGTAAAAAGTACCGGGCCTCTCTCTATGTGAGTAGGGAGTAGAGGGTACTGTGCTGTCCGGTCTTCTGGTCAGCTGGTCCAGAAACAGCAGAAACTTTCAGAGCCTCTTCCGTC